AGCAGAGGGTCCCATCCCACACTTTCTCACTCACCCCCAGGCTCTGCCTGGGACCTGCTGTGACTCTCCCAGCAGTCCTCTCCCTCCCTCTGAGCTTCCATTTCCTTGTCTGTCAAAAGTGTTGATGATCTTTCCCTCCAGTGAAGTCCCAGGGTGAAAGTGCGCTGTCAGCGCCAGGCTCCGTGGCAATGAGAGAGCTGTAATAACAGCAACGCACTGGGTAATTACAGCGGGAACCATGCTGCAGCAGGCCTCGTGCACAGGCTGGGAATTCTTGAGCCCCACGGCTTGTCCCTGGCTTCCCCAGCCAGCTGTTCTGGGGCCTTCCGCACTCAAACATCTTCAGCCTCTGCCCTCAGGGTTTTATGCATGGCTGCAGAGCCCCTGGGAGGGACAGCAGTGGGGGTTCAGATGGTTGAGCATAGGCAGGAGGGGCTCTTGAGACCAGACAAGGGCCAGGCCGGTCTCAGCAAGCCCCCGTCCTCACCCAGGTCTCCGGGGGCTGATGATCGCAGTGATGATGGCCGCCCTCATGTCATCACTGACCTCCATCTTTAACAGCAGCAGCACTCTCTTCACCATGGACATCTGGAGGCAGCTGAGGTCCCGTGCTGGAGAGCGGGAGCTGCTGCTGGTGGGAAGGTATGGTTGGTGAATGCCTGGACACCACAGAGTGGCTGAGTGATGGACTTCTACAGCCCCATGAAGCCCCAGCCACCAGAAGTGGGCTTTGAGGGACACACAGGAATTTGCCAGAGAAGAGAATGCCAGAAAGTAGGGGAGATAAGAAGCAAAGGAGCCGATTATTTCACCCCTGGAACTGCTCTCTTGTCCAGCACTTCGTGGTCACAGCCCCCTCTGGGAGGCTGCTCTCTCCCTGAGCTAGGTTCCCCCCGCTGGGATCAGCCCTCCCTCTCCTAGCAACATCAGAAATCTGCCTCTAAAATCCGAGCCTGCTGCCCCACTGAGACCCTGAGCCAGCACTCAGGCTCTCCGGCCTCCATGCTTCTACCCACTGAGCCTCTGCCAGTTTCCCTACTTATCCCCTCATTACTGACTCAGGGACTCAGCCCAAGTGGCCACTCCTCCATGTGGCCCTCCCTGATAGCCCTAACCAAGGAAAGAGCCTTTCTCTTTCCTCTGTGCCTAGGGGCTATTGCTAGACACCTCCTGGACACATGTGGCTGTTACAGGTCACATCTCCTGGACACTCCTCCACATGCGACTGGGGAGTCCCTGAAGACAGGGGCTGTATCAGCCCATCCACTGTCCCCAGACTGGCTGGGTACCCAGGAGCCTGTAGGGGTAAACTTGACGGTAAATAGTGGAGGTCATGTCCCAGAGTGTCCACACATGTCCACTTGGGTCCTCCCAGGTTCTGCTCATCCCCTACCCCCTGGGCTGTTCAGGCTGCGCTCTGCTGGTACACAGCACATATTTCTAGTGCTGGCCAGGTCAGTGCAACTGTGCAGCCTCTGGCTTTGGGGTGGAGACTTCCCAGAGCTCCAGGTAGTTGGCCTGGTGATGCAAACTGCCAGGCTCCTATTGGAAGGCGCTGTTGGGACATGCCAGTCAGCAGCATGAGCTCATTGCAGGCAAGGATTCTTTTGCCACCCTGTGCAGAGTGCTCCCTGCCCTGCATCCTGGGCATGCGCCCTGATCGCTAGAGATCCCAGCTCTCTACCTGTCCTCTGCTACTGTGTCAGGGGCTCTGCTCCTCCCTAGCCATGGTGTCATTTCTGGCTAACCCCCCATACTCCAGCATTCTGGCCTGAGACCCAGGAGCCTAGTGTCTGCTCGTGTACCTGTCTATGCCTCTGGTCTCCCCAGAAGCAGCTTCTGCCCTGCCCCCATCTGATGCCCAAGTCCTGATCTGGTCACTCCTGCTGTCAGCTCACCAACCCACACCTATGCCCTTGACCTTCCTTGCCACCTCTCCCCAAGCCCTGTCAGCTTGCTGTCCACCCCCGGAGCCTAGAGTGGAAGGGATGGCAGTGTAGGGGGCACGCCAGTGACCCTGGTGGTCTCATCGGGAAGCCAGAAGAGCTGTCTCAGGTTGGTGGTGGTGCAGGTGACGACCTCTACCTCTGGTCCTTGATCTTTGTAGCCTCAAGCCCCACGCCTCAGAATTTCTGTTCCTCTTGTCCCTCCCCTGCTATCCCCTCTTCATCCTCCCTGAAGCCCCTCCCTGCGACCACTAGGCAATATGGAAGACTCAGGGTGATCTCAGGCCTGTGACCAGGGCAGCAGCCCAGGGCTGTGATAGACAGGCTGAGAGGGGACAGCTCTCCTGGCTTCCCTGGGGCTCCTTGGAGCTGAGGAGCGTTGCTGGGAAGAAGGGCATTCCAGTGAAAAGCATGGCCTCTGGTTTTGGGGTGGGGGGTGTATCTCAGCAGCTTGCTGGCAGCTGGATCAGAAGGCACAGCCTCGGCAGCAGTGAGAAGGCCAAGGCCCAGGCCAGGCTGGCTGCAGAGGCCACGGCCCCACTCACAGAGATGCTGAGTCTGGTCTCAGAGGGTGGGGTGGGTGGGTAATGGCGGCCGCCTGGGCCTTTGAAGAGGCAGCACCCGCCGCCTGCCAGGCTAAGGGTTAATTAGGGTTAATCAGTGTGGCACCTCCTTCCTCCACCCTCTCCCTCAGGCCTGGAAGGGAAGAAAGCAAGGTAGGCAGGCGGGCAGCCAGGAGAAGGGACACGCCCTGCTGCACACAGCCTCCATCATCCCCAGGGGCTGGGCTCCAGCCCCCAGCCCCGTCCTTGGGAATAAGAATCCCAGCTGGCCCAGGACAAGGTGAGGGGTGCTCAGCTGGAGAGGAGCAGATGGGACATCTGCCTCAGCCTTGTCCCCCTCCTGGACATGCCCCAGATTGACGTTTCCCCTGGGGCTCCTGAAGTACAGCCCTGCCAGCCTGGTCTGTTTTCTTTGCTGCACCAAGTGCTGGGCAGGCACCAGGGCCTGTTCAGCATGGAGTCAGCTCCCAGCGTAGGGCTGTCTTCTCATGGGAGCACCTTACCACAGAAGGGATGGAGCACCTACTGCAGCAGGCCTTCAGCCCCTAGGAAAGGTGGGACAGCAGAGCCAGGAGGGCTCGAGCTACAGAGATGGTGAACTCAAGCTGTCTGCTCCAAACCTTGTCCTCCTAGGACAGAGATTACCTTGAAGTGAATGAGGATCCACCTCAAAGCTGAGAGGTTGGGAAATGTGCCCCAGGTGGGGTCCCAACAAACCCCAACAGCTCACTAGAGCATGGAGAACACCAAGAGCTCAGTATGGCCCAGTATGAGCAGCAGGTCATTTGCAGCTCCCAAATGTGTATGAGCACCCTCTGTGCCTCGAACTAAAGGAGGAGACATCTACCCTCCTGGAGCACTGTTCTGGACAAGGAGACAGACAGGGGACAAAAGATACCCAAGCAAATATGCACATGGAGCTGGGACAGGTACCTTGAAGGGTAGCAGCCCCCACAGGGCACTCAAAGGACTCACTCAGAAGCCCCCAGGGAGGACAAGGAGCAGGCAGGACTGCGGGTCAGAGTTTGAGTCTGCCAGAAGCAGGGAGCTTTGCAAGGGTCGGGAACAGAAAGAGCAGGCACCTACTGGTGGAGTAAATCAGAGGCTAGGAGGAAGCTGCCACTGGGCTGCAGGGGACAGTGAGATGGGAGAGCATGTCTTAGTGACTGAGGCAGGGCAGGACTGAGGAAGTATTTCTGGACACCCACCACCCACTGTCACTGACAGGCTGGTCATCGTGGTGCTCATTGGTGTGAGCGTGGCCTGGATCCCCATCCTGCAGGGTTCCAACGGTGGTCAACTTTTCATCTACATGCAGTCTGTGACCAGCTCCCTGGCCCCCCCAGTGACCGCAGTCTTCATCCTGGGCATCTTCTGGCGGCGTGCCAATGAACAGGTGGGCAGTCAGGAGTTCTCTGCCTCCTCCTGAGGACATGCAGCAGTGCCTTCAGACCTTCCCTCAGTGCTGAGAGCAGAGTGAGGAGCTGGTCTTCCTCCCACAGCCCACAGCCAGTCTCCTTCCTCCCCAGGGGGCCTTCTGGGGCCTGATGGCAGGGCTACTGGTGGGAGCCATGAGGCTGGTCCTGGAATTCCTGCATCCTGTTCCACCCTGCGGTGATCCAGACACCCGGCCGGCCATCCTCCGCAGCGTCCACTACCTGCACTTCGCTGTCGCCCTCTTTGTGCTCACGGGTGCTGTTGTGGCAGCTGGAAGCCTGCTAACTGCACCCCCCCAGCAAGTTCAGGTGAGCTTTCCCTGACCTTTGACCCTGTAGGTTTCTTAACCCAAACCCTAACAATTGCTAACTCTGATCCTGTTCCCTCTCCAGCTCCAGAAATTTCTAGTCTTTTACCCTTAACCCTACCTGGCTCTAACTTTTGTCCTCTTTTGAACTGGGCTTCATCTTTCCATCATGACCCTGGCCCTCTCTGGACCCACCCTTATCCTGCCATGCACCACCCCTCACATGCCTTGCAGATCAAAAACCTTACCTGGTGGACGCTGGCTCAGGACCTGTCCCTGGGAGCCAAAGCAGGTATTTGTGTGACCCTCAGCACTCCCCCTGGCTATCCACCCTGAGGCTGGGGCTGGAAGCCTGAGTTCAGGGTGGGAAGCTTGCATCCCTCATCTGTCCCTCCCCAACCCCTTCCAGGTGACAGCCAGACGCTCCAGAAACGCCTTTTCTGGTCTCGTGTGTGTGGGTTCAATGCTGTCCTGCTCATGTGCGTCAACATCTTCTTCTATGCCTACTTCGCCTGATGCTGCCACTTGGGAAAGAGACAGGGAACCCGGAGCTCTTAGGCCACTCTCTTTCCCTAGGGTAGACCCCGGGGCCCGGAGGAGGCCTGAGTCCCTCACAGCTACAGAGCTTATCAGGTCCCAGTGACTGACTGAACCAGCAAAGAAAAGCCCCTGGAAAATCAGAGGGAAGTGGGGAAAATTAGCATGACAGTCAGAATGCAGAAGAAAATGAGATTCGGATGAAAATCATTATGATAATTCCACGGTTTTTATTTTTAATACACAGGCCCATGTTAGGAGCAGTGCAATTTGCCAGGGCTCAGTACTCAAAGGGTGGTGGGCCAGCTCTGGACAGAGAGGAAGCCCCACATGCCTACAACATAGGTCCTTCTAAAGTGGCTGCAGCAGCCTTCATGGGCTCCTCCTCCTCCATCCTGCCTGCTCCTGGTGGGTGAGGGAGCTTCCTTTCACCCTGTTCAAGGGCCCGCCACCAGCTGCCTGGCATTCCAGCCCTTCCCAAGACCCACTTGCATCTTCCTACTCCGAAGGTGTCTATTTTTTCCATCTAGACATCTCATCTTCACCCGAGCCAGGCCTCTAGCAGGGCTGCCTCGACCAAAATCCTGCTCTGGCCCCAACATCCCACTGGCCTGTGGATGGCCCTGTCTCCCAGCAAATGCAGGAACCTGGTCTGTGCAGAGGCAGGACAGAGGAAAGTCACAGCAGCCCACCCTGTTTTCCCTCCCGTGCCTGTTCTGGTCTCCAGGCCTCAGCCCCACCCCAAATGTCTGTAGGGGGAGAGGCCCGCGTGTCCCAGGTGGAGCCCAAAGGCATAGGACTGTGGTGAAGCAAGGGTCCCAGTAAGTCCAGGTCCTTCGAAGCTGAGCTAGCTCCCGGTCAGCCGAGGGCCTGTCTGCAGGCGATCTGCTCAGGTGCGTCCAGGATTCTAAGCAGAGCCCAGTGCTCAGCGCTCCCCTGGATTTGACCTCTGCGGGCGGTAGAAGGGGCCTCTGAAGAGGCCGTCCCGTGACGTCACATCGCTCACGGCCAATGGGAAGCGGCCAGGCGGGAACCTTGGCGCCCCCTCTCCGCGCGCTCTGAATAGTGGCAGCTCAGGGGCGATGGGGGCTTCCCCTGGTTTGTGTGAAAGGGGGCCCGGAAGCACGGACCCAAAGTTGAGTCTCAGACTCTGCGCTGAGCCCTCTGTAATCGCGCAGCCGGCGTCCGAGTCCTATCGCGCTGCGCCCGGCTGGGCTCCACGCGCTCACAGGTGCACGGGCTGCACGTAGCTCCGCGGGAAGAAGCCCACGCGCCCGCAGGACCGGCCTCGCCACCAGTGGGGGTCCGGGCGCTCCAGGACCTCAATGATGTCCCCGCGGCGAAAGCTGAGCTGTGAAGGGTCCTGGGCTGAGAAGTCGAACTGGGCCTGAGCAAAGCAGGCACGGGGCGACTGCAAGGGGAGGAAGCAGTTAGTGGGGTGGCTTTGGAAGCTCTAGGCCTGGAGGACCCTAGGAGTCGACTCCATAGTTGGAGAGGAGACCTGGGGCTTGGACTTGACCAATCTCGGGGTCATCCCATGGGCTTTGTGCTGCCCAGGGCACCCTCATTACTGCACTTCATACAACAGCCCAAGTCCTGCTGCCTCGAGGGATAGGAGGGCTGGGCTGGGGGTGGCACAGGAGACCTAAGGCCTGGTCCTGGGTGGTGCTTCAGTTGGTCTTGGCTCTCTCCTGGTCTTGTTTCTCCAGCTGCACAGCAGCCAGGATAACTGGCTCAGACATGGAACACAGGAGAGGACCTCATTCACGGTATGGTGTCCTGCACCAAAAGCCGTGTTTCCTGCTGTGGCCAGGGATGTGGTTGTCACTTGGAGCCACCCCCACAGTCAGGCTTGAGTTCCAGTCCTGTCTGTCGCCAAGTAGGACCTTAGATATCCCTACCCTGTGTGGGACTTGGTCCTCTCCCTTGCACAGCAGCTGAACGGGAGGGAGGAAGCTCTCGGTGGCATGTCTGCTTGGTGGCATCCAGCACCCTGTCCTCACCTGCCCCACCAGGATCCCAGGTCTGAGCCTGCGGAATCCTATCCAAGATGGTGATAGAATCAGAAGAGACACTGTAATTAGCGGTTCTCTGCCCCGGAAGGAGGAGGCGTCATGAGTCTCAGGGGACTGAGCCAGCTCTGCAGTCATCCCACTGGATGAATGACCTCTGAGCAAAGAAGTGGGTGCAGGGCAGGCTCAGTTGGCCCCTCTACTCTACCCTGGCTCCCTCATACTCTCATGGAGCAGGGCTGGCCCAGGGAATGGGTGGACAGATGGAGGGATGGGTGACCAGTGGGAGGCTCTGTTTACTCCTCTGGGTGTGTCATACCCCCAGGCTCATCCTATTAGACACAGGGGAAACTCAGACCCAACTAAGGGCTGAACTGGCCCTCAGGTCATACAAAACGTTGGAGGGGACTGTTCCCCATCCTTCCTGCACAGCCTAACCTCAAATGTCCTGGGGTCTGAACCTCCTGCCCGAGGCTTTGCCCACACCAGTTTCTCCAGGGAAAACCGAGTATCAGGGTTAATAACCCCATTGGTCGCTGTCATCACCCTAATGAGAGAGAGCACAAGTCCTTGGGGCTCCTTGATGAAAGAGCTGCATGCTAGCAAATTGCTGTTATTGTGGGGACGAGGGACAGATGGACCCTTACACAACCAGGACCTCACCCACAAGCGTGCACATCTCCCCACACCCTGGTCACACCAGCTCATATCACTTGGAGCCTCAGTTTTCCCATCTGTATGACGGGACTGTAGAGGCTCCCAGAGCACAGAAACTGGACAAGGGTGTGGTACTCAGACAAGGGTATAGCACATTTCTCTCTACCCATTCATTCAGCCAGTGTTTATTGAGCTCCTACTGTGTGCCATGCACTATTCTAGGAGCTAAAAACAAGCCAGAATGGCTCACCCTAGCAGGGCTGCTCCTGTCCCCATGCCCTAGACCCCGGCCCATCCCTCTTATCCCATACACCTCCCCCAAATATAGTCTTGGGGCCTGGGCTGGGGCTGCCCCTGGCACCAGCAGACTATAGGGCACACAGATGCAGAGGTGGCAGGGGCTTGTCCCCTACCCCATACCTACCTGTAGCAGAGGCTCCTCGTCACGCAGGAAGATCTGCCTCCGCTTGGCGATGGTGGTGGTGCGGTAGAAATCGACCAGCTCATTGAGGGAGTTGAACTTCTCGTCCCACAGGAAGTACTTCCCCGAGGCCTCTCGCAGCACCTTGAAATGCTGCACCTGGTCCCCATAGCTGGGAGAGAGCACCCATGGCCACCTCAGCCCAGCACCCATGCCCGCTGCCCCACACTACCACCCGGAGCCAGGCCTCTCCGCGGTGAGACTGGAGTTGGAGCTGAGGTAGATGGGAGGATCTCACTGCCCTACTCCAGTAAGACCTGGGGAGTCCCTGTCACCACCAGCTATGGAGAGCCCTGAGGCTGTGCGCTCTGGAGCAGATGTCTTTTTTGCTGTATGAACTTAGGCAAGTTACTTATCTTCTCTAAACCTCAGTTTCCTCACAATGACAACACTTCTTTGGGGTTAGGTGAGCAGAAGATGCTGACTTCACTTATTGGTAAAGTTAAATGGCTGATCCGAGCCATGATCCAGCAGCAGCTTTCACATCTCTTCCACATGCACTCGCCTTGACATTCTCCTCCTTCCTCTCTCCCTGCCCAGTCCCCGAAATCCCTTGGGGTTGAGTCCTAAACTAATCCTGGCTCACATCAAAGCCGGCCTGTGTGACAGCAGGATCTGATGCTTTGAGCCCTTTTGAGATCCAGCTCTGATTATGCATCTGCCTCCGTAGACACCTCCACAGGCCCCTCTCTTCCTCACGTCTCCAGCCTTTCCAGCCTCCCACCAAATGGTACTGAGGCCCAGCACAGCTGAGGAACAGCCTGTACTTCCAAGCCAGGAGGGCAGAGCCTGGCTTGGCAGAGACTGGGCAGAGGGAACCGGCCTGAGTGTCCTACATTCGACACCAAACAGGCCACTCAGGGTTGGGACTAGACTGTGGCACTGACATGGATCAGGACAGTGGGCAGGTACGACCGCTGTGGCTTCTCTCCCTGCTGCATGAGTGGCTGGGTCTGCCCCAAGGCTGAGAAGAGCAAATCAGGTCCAGTGGGGAAACTGAGGCCTCAGTGCAGCCACAACCTTCCCAGAGCCACCCAGCAAGAAAGGCTGGGGCTGGGGCCACATCTGAGCTCACACTCACTCTAACACACCCCAACTGATGATTGGCACATAACAATGGCAGTCATTATTCCAATTACGATATTAATAATGTCCCAGAAGATCTTATCCAAGTCCAGGTTCACACTGTATGGTGCTCCCTGGGCTGATCCCGAGGCCCCAGGCCCACTCTCCTTCCCTCCCTGTACACACCTGCAACGGCCTTCCCAGCAGGCCAGCCACCTAGCTGCACTGTGGTTCCCTTGGGGCCACACTCACAGCACAGGTGCCTTGTCTGTTGGCGGGATGGCTGGGGACCTTGCAGGGGCCCAGCCTACTGACCTGGGCCCCTCTGGCTGAGCTGGGACCTGGAAGTGGGCACAGATCAGCCCCAGTGCCCAACCAGGAAGAAGCCAAGTTAGAAGCTGTCCCATTCAGGTGGCTCGTGGGGCTGAGACCTGGGGACCTGGGATCCTGTGGGGGCCAGCACAGGTAGGGACCACTTAAGAGAGATGGTCTTTGGTCTTCTAAGTCACAGGCTGAGTCTCATTTTGTTCATATGAGGATCAAGTGAGTCCCAACCTCCAGGTCAGAGACTTAATATTTAAGCAAAGGCTGGGCGTGGAGGCACATTGCAGTAGTCTCAGGACTCAGGAGGCTGAGGCAGAAAGATCACCTTGAGTTTGAGGCCAGCATAGATTCCATAGTGAGTTCAAGGCTATATCAAGACTCTGTCTCATAAAAACAGAACAACAAAAAGCAAAGCAAAAAAGCCCAGCATGGTGATGCACCCCTGTAATCTCAGCACTCTGGGAGGCTGAGGCTGGAGAATTGCAAGTGGCCTTGGATAACTCAGTGAGACCCTGTCCCAAAGTAATTAGACAAGAGCTGGGGAATGTACTAATACACAATGGACCTGGGTTCAATCCTCAGTACAAAGGGAAAAAAAAATAAACAATGCCACAATGCCTCCGCAGTTGGACACAGAGCATTTCTGAATCTCGTCCTCCTGCAGCGTGGGTTCCTGCAGACCTGTGGTCCTCCTGACCAGAAGATGGCATCCTGCTCCCCTCCCCCGACTCAGATCTGCTGTTCTCTCTGTCCCAAGCCTGCCACCGGTTCCACCTGTCAGCCCAGGGCTGGCACATTGCTTTGCTAAAAGTTTAAGATGAGCCGGGCGTGGTGGCTCACACCTGTAATCCCAGCACTCAGGAGGACTGTTGCGAGTTCGAAACCAGCCTGGGCTACAAGGTGAGCTCAAGGCCAGCCTGAACTGCATAGTGAGACCCTATCTCAAAAAGACAAAAAAAAAAAAAAAAAAAAGAAAGTTTAAGATGAACGGTTCAAGATGCAGATACGTCCAGGGTAACCACGACTCACGCCTCTGTCAAGCAGTCCAAACCCATTTCTAAACTGTTATGCGTTAGATCAAGAATGTCTGGGGATCTAGCTCACTGACATAAGCGCCTGCCTGGCAAATGCGAGGTTGTGAGTTCAATCCCTGGTACCAAAAAAAAAAAAAAAATAGATCAAGAATGTCTCCCAAGAGCCTCTTATGCTCAGAGGCAGGACTGAATTGTGGGGGTGCTTTAGCTGACTAGCCGTTAGCAGGGGTGTGACCTGGAAGGCTGCATCTCTCTTCCTGGCTCTCCCTTCTCTCCCTGCTTCCTGATCATCTGATGGGAGCGGCTGCCCTCCGCCAGGCCCTTCCACCCTGCATCCTACCTTGGAGCCATCTGCGGACTAACAACTGTGAGCCAAAACAAACTGCTCCTTCTTTACACTGAGAGTGTCAGGTATTTTGTCCCAGGAGGAAAGTGACTAAGCGCTGAACAAATTCGCAAATGCTTTAAGGCCCTGGTAAAAGGGCCTAGGCGGTGTCTCACACTGACCCCTCAGCCTCAGCCCATCTCTCTGGGCCCCTTGGCCCTTCACACAGCCCTGTTATAACCTGCTGCTCCTAAAGACTTGCACACTGTACACCGAAAGGGCAAGGAGGCAAAGCAGGCCCTGAGGGTCCTATCTAGTGGGGACTCGGGAATGGAGTGTCACCAGCCAAGCCTTTCCAATCCTGCTTCTGACCGGATATGGTGGTGAATGCCTGTAATCCCAGCACTTGGGAGGCTGAGGCAGGGGGATCAATGTGAGTCTGCAGCCAGCCTGAGCTACATAGTGACTTCAAGGCCAGTCTGGACTACACAGTGATCTGGAGGATCCTAACCCTAACACAGGTGCCTTGGTGGCAGGCTCAACCTCATGGGGCACTCAGCACTTGGAGTGGCTCAGTCTGGAGGAGCTGGTCCTCCCTCGGAAACAAAGGTTCTGGACCAGGTAAGAAGCGTCTCCAAGCCAGAGACAAAGCCTCCTCTGTGTGCCCTCCTTGAGCGTTGTCCCCAGTGACTAAGTGGCTCTTGCTGAGGACTGTGGGACATGTGTGTCTCTGTGCCCGGGATGCTGAGGCAGGTGGGCAGGGGACAGTGACCCCACCTGTCTGACCCTGGCTGCAGCCGCCAGTGCACTTCCATAGGCAGCCTCTGAGCCCACAGCTCCTCCGTGCGGTGCCCACAGGCACTCAGGCTTTTCCTGGACTTTGGCTGGGGTGTGCAGGGAGGCTTTGCTCCAAGTAGTAGAGTAACCACCACCAACAGCCCAGCAGGAGAGAAGGCAGGAAATGGGGACCTAACAGCTCTCATATGGGCACCCAGTGCAGAAGCAAGGAGCCCTGCGAAGCAGGCTGGGATACAGGTGGCCCTCATCCTCTGGGTGTGGTGGGTTGGCCTAAGATTAAAAGCCCTGATTATTGCAACTGTGCATTTTTGGTGTCTGGAGCTGGTGCCCTGAACAAAGGTGTTCTCTGATCGCACAAATCTGGAAACATACCAGCCACCAGCCTACGCAGGGCTCAGTCAAGAGCAGGTCTCACCCTTCCATCCTGTCCACCCTTTCTCAGTGACAGCTGACAAGAGGGAGCCCACACAGCACAGCCATTGCCCAGAGGTGAATGGCAACCTTGCTGGTGCTGGTGCTGCTGCAGCCTCGTGGCCCTGCCTGAGGCCATGTAGGGCCAGCTCCTCCTACCTCACAGCTGGGCCCCTGGGCTCTCATCTTTGTGCCTCTCGCCTGAAATAACACCTTATCTGTTCCTCCAGCCTGATCTTGATGGTTGCCATCCTTCAAGGCCTGGATAGAGCCTTGAGTATTTGAAAACTTGCCAGGCCAGGGGCCTCCTTAGCCCTCAGCCCTACCACCCTGGGTTCCCAGCAGCCTTGGGTTGCAAAGCAGCTGAGTCTGGGGCTTGGTGACCTTGATCCTGGAGGACTCAGTTGGACAGGCCCTGGGCCCGGAGTGGGGAGACTTCAGGGAGCCTGAGCCAAATGGAAGCGGGTCAGCCACAGCCGGTGCCCTGGGTAGACAGCGTGTCAGAGCATCTCCGCTGAGTCTGGGTGCAAGTGCTTGGCACAGCTGTGTGTACCTGCATGTCCCTCTCTGTTCGAGTGCCCCCAACACAACCCTCACTGAGTAGTTGTGGATGTTTGCCTCTGTGTGACCCACACTCCCCTACCAAAGGGACAAGAAGATGACCCAGCTCACTGGTTGTCAGAGAAGGTGAAGGACCAAGTTCATTATGCAAATGAGAAGGGGACCAAAAGATGGGGGAAGGAGAGTACGCAGGACACGAAAAGAAGTAAGATATATTATGTATGTGTGCCAACTCCCCACAAAGGATGTGATCATTATGAACTACAAACAGTACTAATAAAACTTAAAACTGAGAAAATAGCAGTGAAATAAACACATCCACACATGCATAAAAATGGACCAAGTCTAGCCTGATGCAGGAGCGGTAGGTCGTGCCCAGCGAGTTTTTCTGGCCTGGTGGCAGCAGTAGCAGCAAAGGTGACAGGAGCAGCCCAGGGAGCAGAAACAAGACTGGATGGGTGGGGGCTTCCCATAGGTGTGAGCATAGCCGGGAGCATAGGTGTGGTGCTGGCCGCCCAGCAGGGGTCCCTGTCCAGCTGCCCTTGGGAGGGGCAGTGCACAGCCTGTGGAGGCAGAGCCGGGCAGGTCTCTGGG